ACCGGAGAGGTGAGGAGGATTCTGGGAGGTCACATGACATCATTCTTATCTCTATTAATAAGACACAGACCTGACCGGAGAGGTGAGGAGGATTCTGGGAGGTCACATGACATCATTCTTATCTCTATTAATAAGACACAGACCTGACCGGAGAGGTGAGGAGGATTCTGGGAGGTCACATGACATCATTCTTATCTCTATTAATAAGACACAGACCTGACCGGAGAGGTGAGGAGGATTCTGGGAGGTCACATGACATCATTCTTATCTCTATTAATAAGACACAGACCTGACCGGAGAGGTGAGGAGGATTCTGGGAGGTCACATGACATCATTCTTATCTCTATTAATAAGACACAGACCTGACCGGAGAGGTGAGGAGGATTCTGGGAGGTCACATGACATCATTCTTATCTCTATTAATAAGACACAGACCTGACCGGAGAGGTGAGGAGGATTCTGGGAGGTCACATGACATCATTCTTATCTCTATTAATAAGACACAGACCTGACCGGAGAGGTGAGGAGGATTCTGGGAGGTCACATGACATCATTCTTATCTCTATTAATAAGACACAGACCTGACCGGAGAGGTGAGGAGGATTCTGGGAGGTCACATGACATCATTCTTATCTCTATTAATAAGACACAGACCTGACCGGAGAGGTGAGGAGGATTCTGGGAGGTCACATGACATCATTCTTATCTCTATTAATAAGACACAGACCTGACCGGAGAGGTGAGGAGGATTCTGGGAGGTCACATGACATCATTCTTATCTCTATTAATAAGACACAGACCTGACCGGAGAGGTGAGGAGGATTCTGGGAGGTCACATGACATCATTCTTATCTCTATTAATAAGACACAGACCTGACCGGAGAGGTGAGGAGGATTCTGGGAGGTCACATGACATCATTCTTATCTCTATTAATAAGACACAGACCTGACCGGAGAGGTGAGGAGGATTCTGGGAGGTCACATGACATCATTCTTATCTCTATTAATAAGACACAGACCTGACCGGAGAGGTGAGGAGGATTCTGGGAGGTCACATGACATCATTCTTATCTCTATTAATAAGACACAGACCTGACCGGAGAGGTGAGGAGGATTCTGGGAGGTCACATGACATCATTCTTATCTCTATTAATAAGACACAGACCTGACCGGAGAGGTGAGGAGGATTCTGGGAGGTCACATGACATCATTCTTATCTCTATTAATAAGACACAGACCTGACCGGAGAGGTGAGGAGGATTCTGGGAGGTCACATGACATCATTCTTATCTCTATTAATAAGACACAGACCTGACCGGAGAGGTGAGGAGGATTCTGGGAGGTCACATGACATCATTCTTATCTCTATTAATAAGACACAGACCTGACCGGAGTGGTGAGGAGGATTCTGGGAGGTCACATGACATCACTCCTAACTCTCTGGACTATAAACTAGAACCTTGAATTGTATTGTGTTGAGAATGTTTTTACCTCACGTGATATATTTATTACAATACAGAATTATATCGCGTTCAAGTTGTCTGATGGCTCAGTGGCATCCAACGTGATAAAGACCCAAAGCATGTTTATAGAGCCTCCATCTCACTCCCTGGAAAAGAACAGCAAGAAGGTTGAAGAAGTCACCAGCCAGATCATTGAGCTGCTGACGGGAGAGGTGAGCGGTGCCGGGAATTCTGGGAAATGACTATAACGATTATCAGAAATATGCTCGGCAGGGATGATGGGACTGAGGGCTCCTGGGGCCGGAACTAGTAAGGCGGAGGACATAACATAGTTCAAAAAGAGAATAAAAAATCAGAATGGGATCCAAGCCAAGCAAGACCATTAGGCCAAGCCAAACCATAGACAGCACCACAGGCCTTACAATAAGAGAGGAGGCCTGGCACCCAACCAATGGTTCGGGAATGGGTTGGTTGACTCAATAAGCTTCCTTTGGGGAAGCTCCATACACTTTACCAGAACTCTGGTTCCCCCATAACATGATAAATTCCTTTCTTTACCAAGAGAAGTGAGAGAGGCCGTGACTAGAACGAGGCACTGGGACTGGAGTACAGAGATGTCTATGAAGATTCTCATTTGTCCAGGTCATGGTGGATCTATTAGTTGTTGGTCACATTCAACTGGACTTGTCCTGTAACGTTGAAGATGTTTCACTGCTCATCCAAGCACCTTCTTCAGTTCTCATTTTTGTCAGTAACGTATACCAGTATTAAGAGCCACAGGGGTAGCTCAGTCATTTTAGCCAAGTCCGCATGGAGTTTGCACAGGCAGATGTTGATTGTCCAAGAACGAGATCTGAAAGTGGGTGGACCTCTTCTAATTACATTATCTAATCTGAAGGTATGTATTGTTTGTGAAACCACCCTGTTCTAATTACATTGTCCAATCCCACAGTGCCATGTAGTCAGGCGTAGGTGTTGATTGCTCAGGTTACAGTGCTGAAGGTATGGATTGTTGCTGAAATCCTCCCATTCTAATTACATTGTCCAATCCCATTGTGCCATGAAGTCAGGGGCAGGCGTTGATTGTTTAAGTTACATGGCTGAAGGTATGAATTGTTGGTGAAGCCGCCCTGTTCTAATTACATTGTCCAATCCCATGGTGCTGTCTGGGGCAGGTGTTGATACTTAAAGTTACATGGCTGAAGTTATGAAGTGTTGTCAAGTTGCCGGGGTAGAAATGTGAAAATGGCATTCTATATGGGTGGTAGAGGGTGTCGAAGGCCCTCACCCTGGTTTAGGGATGGTTCCAGTTCTACATTGAAACTGGGGACAAAGTCTTCCAGCTGCCTCACACAAGAAGAAGTTTGAATACTGAGGAGGCTGCGTGGAGGTAAGACGCATGAAGCAGGATGTAGAAAACAAAATAGGTAGAGACCTGCCACAGGAGAGATGGAGGGAAAGAGTCAGCCAAGGCAAGTGGTGCATGATGGATAGGGCTGGTCACAGGTCCATGGTTCATAGCCAGGTGGAACCTCACAAATACCCAGTAACAGCGAGGACTGTGCATAGACGGTGACCTTATTGTTTGCATCAGGTTCCTAAAGGGTGTCAGGATGTCTGTGTCTCTTTCTCCGTGGAGGAGGGCGATGATTTGGAAGGACGCCAGGATCCGTGCAAAGACGTCACAATGGAGAACCGGCCGCCCCTCACATCACCGGGTAAGAGGAGACTTTCATTTCTTGAGTATTGAGGATCCCCCTAGATAAACACATCCTCTGATATAAAGACATAGAAACAATGTATTCAGTCAGTGTGTGTGTTTCCTACAGATGGATCCAGGAACAGAAATATCCCAGAGAGATCTCCCAGTCCTATTTATTCCCGGGATTCTCAGGGAGACGACAAGGTTCCAGAGGATGATCCGGTGGGTGGAATCCAAATTTGATGACTATACAACCCCTTAAAGTGACATTAAACCCTCAGATTTTTTAACATAAAACAATACTGTAATGTGCGCCTTACTGTAATCCATGGTAGTTTCCCTTCTCTTTGCTGCTCTTCCTTTTAAATCTGTATCTGTTCTCATGCTCTGCAGAACTTCTGTTTTGCAGCAGACTGCCTTGTCTCAGGAATGGATACACGGTGTCTGTGTATCTGTTTGTAGAGGTTTGTAACCTGAGCCAGCACTACAGGAAGAGGCCCTGAGCTGAAAAGGGAAGTTCTCCCCCAAGCATGAGAAGACATGAGGATTTAAAAGGAAGAGCAGCAAAGAGAAGGGAAATAACCATGTATTACAGTAAGGCGCACATTACACTATTGGTTTATGTTAAAAAATCTGAGGGTTTAATGTCACTTTAAGTATCAAGTAGACCTTTTAAACACCCCATCCACTTTGCTGGCCACCATCTTGTTCTGCTGTGTCTTGCTAAGCTTGGTGTTAGCAGAGCTCCTCCTTAGCCCTCACATGACCGCTTTGCCCATAGACCAGGTTCAGAGATATATCTCCCCCAGCTTGAGAGCTAAACCAGCAATGAGATATGTTCACCAGCCACTTTGGTAGAGTCTTCATTCTTATTAAAGGGTCTACTTAACTTTGCAATCATTACATAATTTATCTTATATTCGTCATGAAAAGGACATCATTTAACGGAACCATTTTTGTGTAGGTTATGGCGAATATGAACCAGACTGATTGTGAAGCAGAAGCCAGAGAGGAAACAGAAGACACCGATATAAGTGAGGATGAGATGTGTAAGGAGGAGGAACATTCTCCAGAGATCAGCACAGGTGAGTAATATACACTCAATCCAGAAGAGTCCCAGATTCTCCTTGTTCAGTCACTACAACAATCTCTCCCCCCTCCCCCCCCCCTCTGTCAGTAGACAGTAATGGGGGACGGAATATGTCTAGTGGGGGGAGTCAGGAGCCATCAGCCTCTATTAGACTCCGGCTCTCCTCCTCACATCATGTCATTGCGTGTTACCAGCCAAGAGACGTGACCAGTCTCCCCCCACACACACTCTCTGGGGTCTCTCATACATCTCAGTACAGGGGGCTTCACTCTCATCTCTATTCACAGATCCTGAAGACACCTTCATGAGAAATGTTAAGGTTGAAGAAGACGAGGAAATACTTGTGAAGATCAAGGAGGAGGAATCTCCTATAGAGATTGGCACGGGTGAGTTATAATCACTACATCTTCCATAAGGGGTAACTGTTCTGGTGTTGGCAAAGTGGGGATTTTCCCCTCTCTTTGGAGAGATTCCCCCTCACTTCCTGTTGTGTCTCTGAGCCAGGAAGTGAAGGCAAATCTTCCCAAGAAGATGGAGAAATTTTAAATTGATGTTTAGAGACCCTTTAACTGTTCCTATCTCCTTCCATTTCTTGTTCTCTCCAGATGGAAGAGCCACCAGGAGTAACGTGGAGAGCTACTCCGTGATTTCTATAGATGGGAAAATAGAGGATGACATCAAAGAGGATTCTTCAGAAGAAAGCCCCATCGCCTCAAGTCTCCACTCGGAGCTTCATGGCGCAGATCTGTCAGCCGATTCCTCATTACATAGCGGGAGCTTTCCCGCTCAGAGAAACTTCACGGCGGAGAAGCCGTATTTATGTTATGTATGCGGAAGATTTTTCTCTCGGAAGACGCATCTAATTGAACACGAAAGGACTCACACGGGTGAGAAGCCTTTTTCGTGCTCAGAATGCGGGAAGTGTTTCATGCAGAAGTCGGCCCTGGCTCTCCATCAGCGGATTCATACGGGGGAGCTGTATCCATGTCCGGAGTGCGGAAAGTGTTTCACACGGGTATCACATCTCATCCCACACCAAAGGACCCACAGCGGCGTGAAGCCGTTTTCGTGCTCCGAGTGCGGGAAGTGCTTCCTACAGAAGTCAGCCGTCACCAGGCACATGAGGATCCACACCGGGGAGAAGCCGTACGCTTGTTCGATATGCGGGAAGTGCTTCTCCATGAAGTCAAACGTGATCGAGCACGAGAGAACTCACACCGGTGAGAAGCCCTTTTCGTGCTCCGAGTGCGGAAAATGTTTCACGGAAAGGTCCAATCTCGCTACGCATCAGATTATCCACACCGGCGTCCGGCCGTATTCCTGTTCAGTCTGCAGCAGGGGTTTCACCACTAAGCAGAATTTGCTTAAACATCAGCAGGTCCACACAAACGCTAAGTCCCGGGCCAGTTCCGAGTGAAGGAAACGTTGCTCAGAGAAACTGTCTCTTCTGTCACATCTCACTTTTCGCAGTGGACGAGCACTTCTAGTTTAGTCCACTCTTGTGCTGGGAAGTGGCCAGCACCACATTTTTTCTTTTCTTTTTGCCCACATGATTGAAAACATTACGACTTTGTTCTTTTATATTTTCTTTCCTGATGACGATGGTAGTTTGTAGGCCTGGTGAGCTGGTATTCTTTTTGTATTCACTAGGAAGGAGGCATCTGATTTCTAGTTCATTCCATTATTTCCTTTGTGCCTCCTTTAAGGTTTTCCTTTTGGGTTTGTACGATGTCCTTTTAGGTCAGCATAGTGGTAAATTTACTAGGAAAAACATGCGTTGAATGCGCAATACAAATGCAATATTTAGAGGTCTTTTATATTATACCACAGCAGCTATGAGGCACATAGCGCACATGGGATGAGTCCTCAGGTCATGCAAAGTTAGAGGAAGCAGGGAAGGTGGGTACTTGAGTTTAACCAAGTCAACCAGGTCTGCTGGCCAGCCTGGGCCCGTCATGGCATGGTTTGAAAAAGCAGGAATGGTGGGTACTTAAGTTTAACACAGTCAACCAGGTCTGGCGGCAAGTCTAGGCCCATCTTGACATGGTTAGAAGAAGCAGGGAAAGTGGGTACTTAAGTTTAAGCCAGTCAACCAGGTCTTGGGCCAGCCTGGGCCTGTCACGACATGGTTAGAAGAAGAAGGGAAGGTTGGTACTTAAGTGTAACCCAGTCAACCAGGTCTAGCAGCCAGCCTGGGCCTGTCATTACATGGTTAGAAGTAGCAGCGAAGGTGTGTACTTAAGTTTTACCCAGTCAACCAGGTCTGGCGGCAAGTCTGGGCCCATCATGACATGGTTAGAAGAAGCAGGGAAGGTGGGTATTTGAGTTTAACCAAGTCAACCAGGTATTGGGCCAGCCTGGGCCTGTCATGGCATGGTTAGAAGCAGGGAAGGTGTGTACTTAAGTTTAACCCAGTCAACAAGGTCTGGCGGCCAGCCTGGGCCCATCATAACATGGTAAGAAGAAGGGAAGGTAAGTTCTTGAGTTTACCCAAGTAAACCAGGTCTTGGGCCAGCCTGTGCCTGTCATGGCATGGTTAGAAGAAGCAGGGAAGGTGGGTATTTAAGTTTAACCCAGTGAACCAGATCTGGAGTCCAGACTGGGCCCATCATGGCATGGTTAGAAATAGCAGCAAAGGTGGGTCAACCAGTTGTAAGGGTGACAGATGGGTGGAAGAGAAGAGATGATAGTGCTGGATCTTGCTGTCACAAATTAGCGTGGAACTATGTTGCCTGGGTTGTGTCAGGCACGGACCAGGCAGCTTAGGCTTAATGAAGGTTCACTTCAAAGGTTCAATGCAAGGACACTTCAGATTGGGGTGTAGAGACAAAGAATGGAATACAACTTCAATTTTGGACCTTCATTTTGGGTGTGACGCCCCATATTTTGTCACTAAGGGCCCAACAGTGATAAAGACAGGCCTAACAGTCACTTCCTTTTCTCTTCTGTAACAGATCAGATCAAAACACTAAACGAATGTTATGCTTGCAGCTCATTTTCTAAGTACCTATATCCTTTTTCAGTAAAACGAAATAGAGATAAACATATATGTCTAAAGAGAAGTATATTTCCACATAGAAAAAGTTACAAGAGAAAGCAAGAAACAAGTGAATCTTTGCTTTGTAGATATGGGGCGAATCAACAGGTTCTCTTTTATGCCCTGTTCTCAAGCCACCGACTTGTTCAGCCACTGGGAGCGAGGAAAGGAAGCCCAGGGTCAGCTCGGAGCTTACACAGGACTGAGGATTCTTTCCCTGCCCCATGTGACACCACTGTGCCAATCACCATGCACCAACCCTATCACATGAGAAGAAGGAAAGTAAGCCACATGTTCCTTCATACCTGAAAGTACTAGATATTTTCTTTGCTCCTGGCAGCTAAATGGAGTGGCGGGGACAACAAAGGAAAGGGGATTATGTGCGTCAGCTGAGGAAGGCTCTGAATAAGGACAGGTTTCCTTTAAAGAGACCCTGTCGACTAGAAGTGCCGGGAAAAACATGGATACCCAACTCTTCTGCGGCTATTACCCTGGAATGCCAGTCTATTGAAGATAAACATGGATAGCCAACTCTGCTGATACTTATCCTTGTGGAATGCCAGTCTACTGGAGAGAAACCTGAATCTCCAACTCTCCTGAGGCTTATCATTGTGGAATGCCAGTCTGTTGAAGAGAAATCCCTGTGAAGGATGAGGTTTCTTAGAAAACCAACACTTCCGGGAGTGTAGATTTCCTGAAACTCGACTGAGCTTAGTGGTTCCTCCCACTGACCTCCGACCACTGAGGTCAGTCCTCAGTGTCACTATAGGACACATTAATGATTCAAGGGTCATCACTGAGCAGAGCGGGAACAATCTGGAAGTGTTGGGTTCTAAAGTGTCTTCTGCTAGAAATTTTGAAAATCAACAATCTGGAATGGTTGGGTTCCAACGTATCTTCTGCTGGGCATTTCCAAGATCAACAATCTGGAAGTGTTGGGTTCTAAAGTATCGTCTGCTGGACATTTCTAAGATCAACAATCTGGAAGTGTTGGGTTCTAAAGTATCTTCTGCTGGACATTTCTAAGATCAACAATCTGGAAGTGCTGGGTTCTAAAGAGCAGGAAGAATATCAGATCAACAATATGGAAGTGTTGGGTTCTAAAGTATCGTCTGCTGGACATTTCTAAGATCAACAATCTGGAAGTGTTGGGTTCTAAAGTATCTTCTGCTGGACATTTCTAAGATCAACAATCTGGAAGTGCTGGGTTCTAAAGAGCAGGAAGACCATCAGATCAACAATCTGGAAGTTGGTTCTAAAGTATCTTCTGCTGGAAATTTCTAAGATCAACAATCTGGAAGTGTTGGGTTCTAAAGTATTGTGTGCTGGACATTTCTAAGATCAACAATCTGGAAGTGTTGGGTTCCAACGTATCTTCTGCTGAACATTTCTAAGATCAACAATCTGGAAGTGTTGGGTTCTAAAGTATCGTCTGCTGGACATTTCTAAAATCAACAATATGGAAGTGTTGGGTTCTAAAGTATCTTCTGCTGGACATTTCTGAGATCAACAATCTGGAAGTGCTGGGTTCTAAAGAGCAGGAAGACCATCAGATCAACAATCTGGAAGTTGGTTCTAAAGTATCTTCTGCTGGAAATTTCTAAGATCAACAATCTGGAAGTGTTGGGTTCTAAAGTATCTTCTGCTGGACATTTCTGAGATCAACAATCTGGAAGTGCTGGGTTCTAAAGAGCAGGAAGACCATCAGATCAACAATCTGGAAGTTGGTTCTAAAGTATCTTCTGCTGGAAATTTCTAAGATCAACAATCTGGAAGTGTTGGGTTCTAAAGTATCTTCTACTGGACATTTGGAAGATCAACAATCTGGAAGTGTTGAGTTCTAAAGTATCTTCTGCTGAACATTTGTGAGATCAACAGTCTGGAAGTGTTGTGTTCTAAAGTATCTTCTGCTGGACATTTGTGAGATCAACAGTCTGAAGTGTTGGGTTCTAAAGTATCTTCTGCTGGAAATTTCGAAAATCAACAATCTGGAATGGTTGGGTTCCAACGTATCTTCTGCTGGACATTTCCAAGATCAACAATCTGGAAGTTTTGTGTTCTAAAGTATCTTCTGCTGGACATTTCTAAGATCAACAATCTGGAAGTGCTGGGTTCTAAAGAGCAGGAAGACCATCATATCAACAATCTGGGAGTGGGTTCTAAATGATCTTCCGCAGGAAATTTCTAAGATCAACAATCTAAAAGTGTTAGGTTCTAAAGTATCTTCTGCAGGAAATTTCGAAAATCAACAATCTGGAATGGTTGGGTTCCAACGTATCTTCTGCTGGACATTTCCAAGATCAACAATCTGGAAGTTTTGGGTTCTAAAGTATCTTCTGCTGGACATTTGTGAGATCAACAGTCTGGAAGTGTTGGGTTCTAAAGTATCTTCTGCTGGACATTTCTAAGATCAACAATCTGGAAGTGTTGAGTTCTAAAGTATCTTCTGCTGAACATTTGTGAGATCAACAGTCTGGAAGTGTTGTGTTCTAAAGTATCTTCTGCTGGACATTTGTGAGATCAACAGTCTGGAAGTGTTGGGTTCTAAAGTATCTTCTGCTGGACATTTGTAAGATCAACAGTCTGGAAGTGTTGGGTTCTAAGGTATCTTCTGCTGGACATTTCTAAAATCAACAATCTGGAAGTGTTGGGTTCTAAAGTATCTTCTGCTAAACATTTGTGAGATCAACAATCTGGAAGTGTAAGGTTCTAAAGTATCTTCTGCTGGACATTTCTAATTTCTAAGATCAATTATCTGGAAGTGTTGGGTTCCAAAGTATCTTCTGCTGGACATTTGTAAGATCAACAATCTGGAAGTGTTGGGTTCTAAAGTATCTTCTGCTGGACATTTCTAAGATCAATTATCTGGAAGTGTTGGGTTCTAAAGTATCTTCTGCTGGACATTTTGTCTCAACGGAGGCCGGCTGGAGACATAAGCATCCACTTTACAGAGGCAGCGTTTATGAGCCACGACAGGGTTGCTTTAAGGTCATCTAAACCTTCGTAAAGCCAAAACAAAAAATAGCATTAAGGTCATCTAAACCTTAGTAAACACAAGCAGCAAAATAGCTTCTAAGCCTTAATAAAGATGATATTAGAAGTTAACCCAAAATTAGTTAAAACGTCATTAATATCAAAGCTTTATTTAAGTGTTAAATACTAAAAGATTTATATGTCTTTCAAAAGGTCTAAGTGAGGTAGCAGTACAAAACAACATGTACCGAACTACTTCAAATGAGTCTAACAACACTATTTAGGAGAAGACTTGACTTTTTGAAGGTGGATACGGCAAGGTCTGGTATGGTGGGACATGATGTTTGGGAAACCTCATCATACCGTCTATCCCTATGCAATACAATAATAATTGAGAATGAAATTATTGTTATGTTGTGGCCGTGTACAATTCA